GGCTGTCAGCTGACCAGGCGATCTGGTATACTGCGGAGACGTGTCCTCGCAGGGAGATCAAGAACCTGAGGGGAAGTTTGGAATTATAAAGCTGGCGGGATCAGATTGGTCCCAAAGGCATTGATTGGCTAAAGCCTCACTCCCTGGCCTGGCCAGTGAAGAAGAAGAAGAGATTGGATTTATACCCCGCCCTTCACTACCCAAAGGAGTCTCAGAGCGGCTTACAAACTCCTTTCCCTTCCCCTCCCCACAACAGACACCCTGTGAGGCAGGTGGGGCTGAGAGAGCTCTTGACAGAAACGGCTCTTTTTCGAGAACAGCTCTTATCAGAACTACAGCTTACCCAAGGTCATCCAGCAGCTGCCATGTGGAGGAGTGGGGAATCAAACCCAGTTCTCCCAGATTAGGGTCCGCACTTCTAACCACTACACCAAAATGGCTCTAGAATGCTTATTTTCCGCTCTCCCCCATCTCCTATCATGAGGTCTCAAAACTTGTTTTTAAAAGAAGCTGAACTCATCAACATCTCTCACTGAGAACTGACTTAGGTTTCAAAATTACTTTCCGGTCCTCCCGTCCCACAACTTGACGGACTTGTCGAAGGATGCGCTGGCAATGACGCGGCTGTCCGGTGAGAAGAGAACTTGGTTGATCAGCGCCTGATGCCCCGTCATCCTCTGCAGAGCCTTTTTGTCCTCTGCAGGGGCCCAGAGGAACAGTGTGAAGTCGTCTGATCCAGAGACCAGTCTTTCCGGCCCTTGCCCCTGCAAGACAGAGACACCAGACCATCCTCTGTCACGAAGGCCATAGGATTTAGGGACAGAAACAGAAAAAGATTTCCCCAGAACCTTAAAAACTAACAGAATTATCATGGGAGATGTCTCTGTGTTGGGAGTCGCATCAAAATGAGGTGCCCAGCACAGCATCCCATTCCACAGAGTGGCTCACCGGCTGCTCCACAAGGCCTACTTGAGCAGGGGCAGAGAGGCCAGAACATAAGAGACCTGCTAGATCAGACCAATAGTCCATCTAGTCCAGCATCCTGCCTCACACAGTGGCCAACCACTTCCTCTGGAGGGCCAACAACAGGGCATGGAGGCCGAGGCCTTCCCCTGACAGGAACCTAAGAAGAGCCCTGCTGGACCAGACCAGTGGTCCATCTAGTCCAGCATCCTGTATCATGCAATGGCCAACCAGTTCCTCTGGACAGCCAACAACAGGGCATAGAGGCCAAGACCTTCCCCTGATGTTGCCTCCTGGCTCTGGGATTCAAAGGATTAGTGCCTCTGAATGTGGAGGTTCCCCTCAGCCTCAAAGGATTAGTGCCTCTGAATGTGGAGGTTCCCCTCAGCCTCAAAGGATTAGTGCCTCTGAATGTGGAGGTTCCCCTCAGCCTCAAAGGATTAGTGCCTCTGAATGTGGAGGTTCCCCTCAGCCTCAAAGGATTAGTGCCTCTGAATGTGGAGGTTCCCCTCAGCCACCATGGCTAGTAGCCATCGATAGACTTTTCCTCCACACATCTCTCTAATCCCCTTTTAAAGCTGTGGCCATCGCAACAGCCTTTGGCAGTGAATTCCGCATTTTAATCACTCTCTTTCCTTTTGTCCTCCCTGAACCTGCTGCCCATCAGCTTCATCGAATGCCCTCAAATTCTAATATTTTGGGAGAGGGACAAAAAGTTTGTGTTGTCCATTCTCTCCACCTCATGCATCATTTTATAAGTACCCACTGTTTATAAACTCCCACTGTTGTTATTGTGAAGCACTGGTATGCAGCAGTAGATTCTGTCTGAGCATGGAAGTTCCTCATACTTAGTCATTTACAGGCCCATTCTCCTCCACGGACTGTCTAATCCTTTAAAAAAGCCATCTAAACTCGTGGACATCCCTGCATCCAGTGGCAGTGAGTTCTGCTGCTGCAGCTGCCCCTCAACTTAATTGGGTGCCTCCTCCCTCCCCCAAGTTCTATTCTTTTGGCAGAGGGACAGCAGGTTCCCTGTCCACTTTTCCCACATGGTTGGTCTATAAGGATGCCAACAAGATACTGCCATTATTGTTGCCAGAGTATTGTGGCCCCACTGCTGGACCTCCTGATGGCACCTGGTATTTTTGGGCACTGTGTGACAGAGTGTTGGACTGGGTGGGCCTTTGGCCTGATCCAACATTGGCGTCTCTTATGTTCTCTTAAGGTCTAGATCCCAGTGAGGTTGTAAACATGTTTCTGGGCTATACCAAAAGCCATTTTGGCCAGAGGCCATAACAGCCAGGCCTACCACAGCTGTCCCTTAGGGACGAAATGACCCATTTTCTAGCTTCAGTGCCTTTTTGAATCGTACAAGACTCCATGCGCATAAAACACAGTGCATCACTTAACCTTTGGAACTCACTCTCACGAGAAACCAGTTTATTTTCCGACACAATTCGATGTACTGATACCGAGCATTATGACCCAATGTACTTTAGAGAATGCCTCATTTATATGAACCTTCCGCAGTCAAAAGTGTAGCCTCGCTCTGGAAACTTCACTACTAAGTGAAAAACTGGCTACAGCTCAAGGCCACGACCTGTTCATTCACAGCTTTTAAGAAGAGGGTTACTGATCTTCCTTTTATAGATCAGGCCTTTGGGGAACAGGTGTATCTGCTTTACTTTACATTGCTATATTTATCTTTGAATATTTTAACAGTATGTTGTTTTAAAATCCTTATTATGGTTTTGGAAGCATAGGGAACCATCTTGAGCTCCCTGGAGAAAGTGTGTGTTAATAAATAAAATGTTCCTAATGATTTCAAGGCACTGCCTAGGAAGAAGCCAACAGGAATCTATAAGGTTGAAGGCCAGAATATTTAAAAAACAGATTTTATGTATTTTTAGAAAATTAACAGAAGCAATGTGGCTGCAAAATGGATTAGTTCTAAAAAAAGCAGAATGTAGATCTCATCAAGGTTGCTCCACTGGTATAACAGAACTTCCACGTGAAGGGGAAGTCTACCTCTGAATATCAGCCACAGGAAGAGATAGCCCATCCTCATGGTCAGCTTTTGGGCTTCCTGAAGGCACCTGACTGGCTACTAGAAAACGGGAATGCTGGACTAAGCTCGCCTTTCGGTTGGATCCAGCAATGCGGTTCTGATTTTAGACATGTGTGCCTGAGTGTGCTGCTTCACTTTTCCAAGGTTAATGCATTCCACAGATCCTTCATTTAGCAGAGAGCGAGAATTCTTTCCAGTTTACAACAAGGATGAAGAAAAATTGGGCGACACCCAGCAATAGGCCAGCAAACCAAAAAGGGAAAAAATTCTCTGATCACCCTGTTGAAGAAAACGCGTTGGTGCTTTGTATGATAATAAATCAGTCGCCTGTCACCTGGCATTTCCCCCCCCCTTTTCAGTTTACAACAAGCCATTTAAAGCACTGAAACAGGTTAGGACTGAGAGAGGACGACTTTTCTAGTGGCCACCAACCTCGCAAGCGTTATGATTGGGGAAGATGGTGGGATGAGACACTCCCTACCTCCAGTCTTGCTCTTGCATGTTTCAGTTCATGAATTCCAATCCACCCAAGCTACTAGTCCACAGCGTTTTTCTTTTTCTAGCTCCCATGTGACTCTCTGTGTCATCTGTAGCCTAAAAGGAATAAAACTCCAACTTGGACTAGCCTTTCCCCTGCCTGGACAGCTAGGGACAGATTCTTGAGACTTTTCAGTAAACCTTTCCGCCAAAGAAAATTTAATAAAAATGCTTTATCAGTGGCACCTATCTCCCTATAAATTAGCAAAAATATGCCAAGGGGGCTAGTGGGGATTGTTGGGCATGTGTGGCTACCAATCCCAACTTTATACACATCCGGAGGGAGTGTAGGAGAGCAGCAGAATTCTGAAATATGATTGCTACAGTTATTTCTAAAGGTATAAGGAAAGAGCTACCATTCTCCCCTAAGGGTTTTCTATTAAATCACGTAGAATTCCTTTCTAAAGATGTTTATGAATTTGTTCTTAATGCCATAACATCCGCAAGGCTAACCTTTTCTCAGAACTGGAAGATGAACATAATTCCAAATAAAGAAGATCGGTTAGAAAAATTAGTAGAATGTATACCTTTCCTCAGAACTGGAAGAAGAACATAATTCCAAATAAAGAGGATCGGTTAGAAAAATTAGTAGAATGTATTCGTCTATGGTTATTGAAGGTCAGAGAAGAAGGGGACGGCAAAGGATGAGATGGTCAGACAGTGTTGTCAATGCAACAAACATGAAATTAAGCAAACTCCGGAGGACGACAGAAGACAGGAGGGCCTGGCGTGAGGTGGTCCATGGGGTCGCGAAGAGTCAGACTCAACTGTGTGACTGAACAACAACAACAATTCATCTTTGTAAACTAACCTGTCTACTACACGGCCAAATGTCTGATAAATTTGGAAAATTGAATGCTTTCCTGTCTAGAATGAGAAGTTAATTTCAAGCTTGTATAGTTGATGTTTTATAATAGTTTTGTAGTTTGTATTTCAGGCCCTTTGTCTGTATTAGTTTTATTTCTATATTTTAACTGAAAACAAACAGAGATTCTTGAGACTGGCCAGTCTCTCTCTTTTTGTCAAGCAGAAAACAGGAGCGAAGGCTTCCTAGGGGAAGACTTACCCTGACTTGATTGTACCTCTGTAGAGCTTTCTGTTTTATCTCTGCCACTGTGGGGTTAAAAAAACAAAGGTGAGGTCAGGAACTTAAAAAGACCAGTGCAATTAGAAATGTCTTTACAAACAAGAACAGTGAGAACTGGGTATCCCTCATTGCAGAAAAGGTATTTTTATGATAGTTAAAGTGGAAATTCTGCAATGGCCTCCAATCCCATTCCTTCTGAGACTGAAGTTCGGCGTACAAAGTTTATAGTGGGAAAACTGCCCTATCAAAGCTGAGAGAGTGTAGGGGCCCTCCTGAGAGTCGGCACATAACGAGATCTGCAGGTTGCAAAGCGATCCAAACATGGTGTGTTTTGCATTTTACTGATCACCGGCATTTTGATAATATTCTTGTGGCCAAATCGTCTCAATCCTCTTCCATCTTCCTCTGTATAAAAGCTACGATTAGATTCTTCTCTGTGGTAAATTGTGAGGTAGTCTCATTGCCATGCCTTATTAATTATGTATTTTGTGACTGGATTCGTCCTTTCAGTAACTGGGAAATAATTGTTAATATTTTTCTTGTGTCTTAATTTCTTGTTTCCATTTCTTTCGTTGGCTAAACAATGATATATTTTTTTTTACTAGCTCATCTGCTCCCAGCTACCATTTTAAAACAGAGATAAAGTGAGGGGTGGAAACGCAAATTAGCACATGTCAGCTTGCTTTGTAGACTTTATTCTGCTAGGAGGAGCAGATCTTGAACTGTGAGTCCCCCCCCCCCCAAAAAAAGGCTGAATTTCCCAGAATGCTTTAAAACTCTTGTTCACTGAAACTGGGAACTATACACACACGTCCAGAACTCTGAGAACAGGCGAACACTCACATCAGCAGCTAAAGGTCAAAAGACACTTAACGGAACCAACTCCACACACACACACACACCAGGGGCATATCTGAGGTTGCTGCGAACAGCAAAGAAAGCGGGAACAGCAGCAGTGATA